TGGAGACCTCTCTGAAGATGTGTTCATGCAACAACCGCCAGGGTTTGTGCAACTTGCTGAAGATGGATCTGTCCTCGTCTGCAAGCTTCAGAAGAGGCGTTATATGGATTGCGTCAGGCACCTAGGGAACTGGCATGCCAAGCTCGAGATAGCCTTGTGCAGATTGGATTTACAGCATCTCGAGCGGAAAAATTTTGTCAAAAGATGCTGGGAGCTGCTGTCAAATGAAAGTGAGTATCGCAGCATAGTTGGCTCCTTGCTATATTTGTGCCATACACGTCTTGATTTAGCCTACAATGTGGCAATGTGGCACAATTCATGCATGCACCACGTGAACCACATTGGCTTGCAGTCAAGCGTATACTTCGATACTTGGTTGAAATGTGAATTATGGGTTAATGTTCCAAGCAAGTGAGGCAGAATTGTCTGTGTCAGCTTTTGCAGATGCAGATTGGGGCGCAAACATTGATGATTGACGGTCAATTTCCGGTTATGGTGTGTTCGTTGGGAAATGCCTTGTTGCGTGGAGCTCAAAGAAACAGAAAACGGTGTCCCGTTCTACTATGGAGGCAGAATACAAGTGTCTTGCTGATGCTGTTGCTGAAGTTACATGGACAAGTTCTTTGCTGGCAGACCTAGGGATTCAACAACGGAGGGAGCCGGTGATTTGGTGTGACAACACCGGAGCAGTGGCTATGAGTGCTAATCCTGTGTACCATGCACAATCAAAGCATATAGACCTGGACATTCACTTTGTCCAAGAGAAAGTGGCTGCAGGTCTTCTAAAAATCAACTACATACCAGCTGCACATCAGACAGCAGATGGTTTTACTAAGCCCCTCTCAAAATCTGCGTTTGAAGAGTTTCGTCGCAGTATATGTGTAATGCCAGGAGTGTAGTAGATTTGCTCGGAAAAAATGAGAAGAGTAGGGAGAATGTTAGGCTATAGCAAGACTTACTATGCTCTTGCTAGCATTATAGTATAACCATCAGACAGTTATCATTGGGCGCCAAAGTTAGTTAGTTTGTTATAATTGGTTAAGCTTAATAGCCTTGCATTGTTCACTATAAAAGTGATGTATCAGAAAGTGTACAAACTACTTATTCAATATATCCCTTTCATATACAGTCTCATATTCAGTTTCTTAATGTATATAAACGAGAGTTATATTATTTCTTCTGGTCAAAATTTTTCCTCATAAATATAAACTCGATTTTATTCTTCAAAATATCTAATCCGAACCAAAATTAATATTTTAAGAGAAAAAAATCAATTTTAAATATCATGCCCATCCCTAATTTCACCACGGATTGCAATTAATGTAGCAATTGCCCTTTTCTACATGGTTATTGTTCCATCAACATTGCGTTTCATTTTCTTTAAAATTAATTTCCATTTTGTATTGAATTTGTCAACTCTATATGCTTGGGATGTTACATGGTGAAGGTTCCATCTGTACTACTATACTCGTATGAAATAGTAAAACTAGTTATTAATGTACAATTCTTATACATATCTAGACGGGTATGAACTCTAGTAGGTTGAAGTCTATTACGTATCATGTATTATATTTAAATAGTTCATCTTAATCCCTTCATTATGGGAGTGAATATTTTAGTCCATTTAAGTAAAATGTTCATGTATATAGATGAATGTTAAAATTATTATTTCCTAGTTTTCTCTCATTGGTGTGTCGTTCAACTCTTTTCTTTTTCGTCTTTATTGATCGACGGTGACACTAACTTTAATGTTGGTTGCCGACCGCCGAAATTCTTTATTTTTTATTTCTTTTCTATATCGTATCTTTATTTTTTTCATTAAGTCTGCTTGTTTTGTACGTTTTCATCTGTTTTTATGACACGTTTTCTTATGTTTTTTCTTCTTCTTCATGTTTTTAGATTATTTGACCGTTTTTTATTATATTTTTTAAGGGTTGATTTAATATCGCCACGACTGATTAAGATGACACTTCTCTAATATCTTGTGATCTATCCTGCTTTGGATCCTCGGATTGGATTTGGATACCCGATTTATGTTCATTGATAGCTTTTCACGTCGCTCAAGTCTAATTTGCGGTTTGTCGATGGTCTTTCAATAGTTTGATCTTCTTTTGTGGTTCGTTTGCCGATGCGATCAAATATGTTTTTATCTATCTTTTTCGAGTTTCTTGGTTAGATTTAATATTTCCTTGTATGATCCTTATCTGATCTTAATTTACCAGTTTTGTTTTAATGATTATAGGAAATTTTCCTAATTATATGTTTAATTTATGATTGTGATTGTAAATCTTTATTGTAATTTGGGATATTTTTATTTTGAATAAAATTATTTGCTTCGATAAAAAAAAGTAAAGTGTTCATTTTAATCCATCTATTATGGAAGAGACATTTTAGTCCCTGTATGTTTGGAAAATAAGTATTTTGGTCCAGATTTTTAAAATTATTGTTAGTTGGCTTAAATATTTTTGGTATAAGCATATCTGAAGTCTCTCTTAATTTTAAATTGAGCAAATTGATCCATCTTGAAGAAAAAAGAGTATGTTTATTCAATGTACATTTAAAAGTAAGTTGATAAGAAAGATTTATAATGATGTATTGGTGTTGACATCTTTCGTTAGTACATGACACATGTCTAACTGTGATTGATTAATTTCTTAATAACTGAAAATTTTATATAATTTTATAATATTTTTCTATAATTCTTATTTTTTTTTAAAATAAATAAATTTCAACTATTTTTTATAATTTTTATATCTAATTTCTTAATTAAACTCTTATTCTCAATCCAAATATTTAAACCAACTGAAGATAACTTTAATGTCTTGGATCAAAATGTTAACTTTCAAATGCACAAAGACTGACTAAAATGTTACTTTTTATAATTAAAAGAAGAAACAATTTTTTATAATAAAATAATTAAAATAAGTTCTTAAAATATAATATAAATACTTCTAATTCACTCTAACCAACTCTAACATACATGTATACACAAGTAGACGAATCTAAATATAATTTTTTTTTAAAAAGTAACATTATTAAGGGTAAACTACAGATTTAGTACTGAAACTATTAGTTTTAGTTTGTTTTAGTACTCAAACTTTCAATTTTCAAAATCATGCCTAACGTTTAGTTTTCATTTCAATTTAGTACCCCGTCATTAAAAACTTAACGCTTTTAGTACCTAAACTGTCAGTTTTGACACGTTTTAGTACCTAAACTTTTAAATTTTTTCAAAACTTAAATTTAAATTTTGAACGAGTGTACTAAAATGAAACAAAAACTGAAGTTTTTATCGGTGAGATACTAAAATTTATGTATGTTTTTGAAAAAATTAAAAGTTTAAGTACTAAAACAGACTAAAACTGATAGTTTAAATATTAAACATGTAACTCATTCTATTATTAATTAAAGTTTATAAAAATTATATTTTTTATGAATATTAATTTTTCTATCGAATAGTACAGGAACGTGGGACTGCCCAACATCATGATTAGGAGATGGGGGAGAAAAAGAAAAACTTATTCATCCAATTTTTTTTTTTCATGTTTTGGTCTTATATGTACAAATTACTTGACACATGGTGTATTTGCAAGGTTATGGAGGTTAAAAATGGTTATTTTTAAGGTGATTATAAAGTAAGTAAATTAATAACTAAAATTAAATATATATTTATATTAAAAATAACGAATAAAATTGCACCAAATAAAATTCAATATTTCATACCAACATATGGTTGAAAGGGTTATACCTGACAAACTTCACTCGAACCCGATTACCTGAACTGATTTACCTTATTCAATATCCGATATTAACCCGAACATGATAATCAAATTTGATTCGATACCCGACCCATACCATATCCAAAATTTACCAAAATCGAAATTAACCCGAATCAAAAGCAACCCGACCGAAAAAAATCCGAACCGAATTTTAATCCGACCCGAACATATTGAAACTGATAAAAGTTCTTAAACTATAAAAGTTGTTTTCAATAATAAATTAATTTAAATAAATTGAAAAAAAATGGCTGTCCCTTGTTCCCATATGTAATGGGGTAAGGGGGAGGTAAGATAGTAGGCTGTCCCCAACACTAGGTTGAGTGCAGCTTCCGTAGGAGACCTCCAAATTATGAAATGCCCTCCATGGGACTCGATCCCACGACCTCAAGGTTAAGAACCTTGTGCTCTACCAACTGAGCTAATGGTCATTTCAATTTAAATAAATTGACAATTTATTAAAAATATTAGATTTATAATAAAATAATAGAAAATTAAGAGAAATATAAAAATAAGAATCTAATTGTAAGATTGAAAATAGTAATAAATAAAATTTATTTATCTTACTTGTTATAAAAATATTAGATTTATAATAGAAATATAAGAGAAATATAAATTTATTAAAATTTATTTATAATAGAAAATTTAAGAGAAATATAAAAATAAGAATCATTTGATAATAAACGTTCAAATACTCTACAAACGTCGTGTTTGAATTCAAAATCTTTAGGGGTAACAATTATTTCTTAACTATTGAGATCGTTGGTTCATGTGAATTTGTTTTGATTAATTTAGAGTAATTACAAAATAATATATATTCAAAAGAATATTTATCAATTAACAATGATGTGTGCTCGAACCCAGAATGTTTGAAAAAAAAAACCCATCAGTCCCTAAAAAATTGAAAGAAGGAAAGATGAAACAGAAGGTGAAATTTGACTTCCAAGAAATTCACCGAACCTACCCCCACTACACATTGTCTTCTCCAAGTATCAACTACATCCACTAGCAGACAACATAGTTGAAGACGTTTAAACAAGTGCCCTCTCTTTGTCTCTCGTATTGACCTTCATTTTTTTTAATGCAATCCATATTCAAAATCTACCAGCGTGCTGATTCTCAGGGTCTACCCTCATAATCATTATCCACTAAACAATACCTTATATATATATATATATATAGAAAGGAAGGAAGGAAGAAACCCAAAAGCAAGCCAAAAGGCAAATGGATGTTTGGAAGACGAAAGGGAAGAAAAACGTGCTGATGAAGGCTTGGGAAAGATGCAGATCACTGGGAAACACAGGCAGGAAATCATCAGCTACTCCGTCTCCATTGATGAGAAAGAGCAAATCATGTCATGTTTTCCCATCCATCCAAGAAGAAGACAATACGAAGAAGAAGAAGGACAAGTGCTTTCTTGTAGCTCCGGAAGGTTGTTTTTCGGTGTACGTTGGACCCCAAAGGCAAAGATTCATGATCAAGACACAGACGGTGAATCATCCATTGTTCAAGTTGTTGCTTGAAGATGCCGAGCTCGAGTATGGGTTTAGCCCTGAAGGCCCTCTTCTTCTTCCTTGCAACGTCGATTTGTTTTATAGGGTTTTGGCAGAGATTGATGATAATGGAGATGGAGACATGAGTCCTTTTGTTTGCGGATTTGGTTATAGTCCCTGTCGTCATCGTTCAAGAAACATTAATAAAGGATATGGATCGTATAAGCTTCTTTGTTCATCTCCGATGACTAAATTGAATAGTTATTAAAGTTTCTGTTTTTACAACAACAAAAAATTCTTAGTGGGATTGAAGTAGGTGAAGATGATGCATACAGAGAAATGTAATTGAAAGTGTATTTTTTAGTAATTTAATGGATATAGTAAACAGCTTATACTAGAAGTATACATAAACTTCATCGAAATTTTGTTTTCCTTATTCAATGAACTTACGTTTGTGTTATATCCTTTTTAAACCTCCTTTGTAAGATTGGTCTATGTTTGGGACATCTTGTTTAGCATGCCAATGATCTTGGAAAGTTTTCCCGTAATTAAGTCCTATAATAAATTTTTCCAACTTGGGACTGTTGAAGATTTCCACCTCTCCAAAAGTCATAACCCTCGAGTGGATGTTGATTACATCAGTCAGATATATCTATTATGTCTGTCTTTAAATAATCATCATAACACTATGTCTGAAACCACTCTAAAATACCTCAATCAAACCAACAGGAAAGAAAGATTCTAATCTCAACCCTCCTTTTTCTAAAAGAGAGAATCTTAATATTAACTAACGACTGACTCTATCCTATACGATTCTTCATATAAATAAAAAGGAGGGAATAATATATTATCACTGTAATCCGTTTATTTTCATTAATAAACAATAACCCATCAAATCACGAAAGACAATGGCTTGTTGTCTAATTTATCATCAGACACCCTTTATAAACATAACTGTTTGAATCATAACCTTAAAATAAAAATATATCTCGTTGAACCATCGAGTAAACTAAATGATTTCTACTATATATAATTTATAATCTTTAAAGTTATATACATTTGTGTTATAACGTGTAACCTTTCATCACATCTTCAGTAAAAGATGTAAAAAAAAAATGAAACAAACTTTGCAACGATAATTTGGTCCCGTTCGATGTTTGAATTTAAGATATCGTTATTATCATGTATAAGCAAGGATATTAGTTTAATTCGAAGTTGAAAGATCTAGCTTGACTGGGTTTATAGAATTGATTTTATAAAAAAATTAGATTCAGGTTGGGTCGAGTCAAATTTTATGAAGAGTGAGATCAGGTTAAGTCATTTTCAGGTTTAGGATGAAATATTTTTTCTATTAGATTTTTATTAAATAAAACATATTTGATCTATTTTTTCTATTAGATTTTTATTAAATTAATTTTATTTTTATATCTATGCCGGTCAAATAAAATTTAAATGAAAAATATATTTCTCAAATCGAATTGAGTGAAGAGAATATACGTTTAAAATTAAATCAGATTCAGATGAAGAGGATATATTTATCGATCCCTAATCTAACAATTGTTATATCCCTCTTTAACCGAGTGGAACACAGACCGGTGGAAAGTATCTGCAAAGGCCGTAGTAATCGCTGGGCCAAACGTAGGCCTTGCTCTAATATCAACCCTAATTGTTCTTCTTTTTAGCTATCTCAGTGCTTAAAAGGGTTTCCCTCCGCCGTTCTCAATCACAAAGAAAAAAAAAAAGCTCGAGTTTTAGGAGTTGAAGAAATGGTAAACCCCATTCCAATCAATCGTCTTCTATCACTATTCATCACCTTCATTTTCGGTTTATATTGATCTTGTTGTTAAATGCAGGCCCCGAAGAGAGGTGGAAAAGTGGCCGTGCCTGCCAAGAAGAAACAAGTAAATGTTCATTACTTTCTGTACACACGAACAACTCTAAGAACTCGATTCTCATGCCACTATCCTTTATGTTATCTTGATTTTTCATTATTAGGAGAAGGTTGTCAATCCATTGCTCGAGAAGCGTCCGAAGCAGTTCGGTATTGGAGGGGCTTTACCTCCTAAGAAGGATCTGCATCGATTCGTGAAGTGGCCTAAAGTTGTTCGCATTCAGAGGAAGAAGAGGATCCTTAAGCAGCGGTTGAAGGTTCCACCGGCGTTGAACCAGTTTACCAAGACTCTTGACAAGAACCTTGGTCTCGCATCTTGTTGAATCGTTCATTCTTAATCGTTTTTTTATAGCATCTTGCATCTGTGATCCTCTCCATATTTATCGCTGTAGGGTACCTTTTACGGCTGTGAACGAAGATTAGTCATTTAACCCTGGTTATCTCGTGTCCCATTACAGCAACAAATCTGTTCAAGTTACTCCTCAAGTACAGGCCGGAGGACAAGGCGGCGAAGAAGGAACGTCTGTTGAAAAAGGCCCAGGCCGAGCTGAAGGCAAAGCACCTGAGTCTAAGAAACCAATTGTTGTGAAATATGGTCTTAACCATGTTACATACCTTATCGAGCAGGTCGCCCTCTAATTTCTGTGTGTTGCATCAGTTTAGCAAGTGCGGTGTTGTACTTTTACTATTCTTAAGCACTTAAAAATAGTAGTTTATGTATAATGTTTTATGCAGAATAAGGCACAATTGGTTGTTATTGCTCATGATGTGGATCCCATTGAGTTGGTAGTGTGGCTCCCTGCTCTGTGCAGAAAAATGGAGGTCCCTTACTGCATTGTTAAGGGAAAATCACGTTTGGGATCGGTAAGTTTCTTCTATATCTTCCTGTGCCGAATTACGGAGCTAATGAGAACGTACTTATTCATGTTAGTGTACTACTCAGATTGTCCACAAGAAAACTGCTTCCGTCTTGTGTTTGACCACGGTTAAGAACGAGGATAAGATGGAATTCAGCAAAATCCTCGAGGCAATCAAGGTAAGAATACAAACCCATGATATTATGTTGAAGTCGTACTTTGTTGTATTCACTGGCGCTGTGCATTGCAGGCCAACTTCAACGATAAGTACGACGAGAATAGGAAGAAGTGGGGAGGTGGCATCATGGGATCCAAGTCACAAGCTCGAACCAAAGCAAAGGAGAGGCTTCTTGCAAAGGAAGCTGCACAGAGGATGACTTAGAGGAAGTATACACCTTTAGTCTGAGGTTGGTGTTTGATTAATCGTCTAGTGTAGTAAGTTTCAATCGATTTTCATCTGGTGTAGTAAGTTACAGTTGATTTTCAACTTGGTTTTACTCGTTTTCTTCGAGGAACATTGATATCGTTTTTCGTGGTTGATTTTTCTAAGTGCCTAGCATGTGAGTGCTGTTTGTGGTGAAGTTCGTGATTTTCTAAATGATTTATGAATCCGTGTTTTATTTCACTTAGATTTGAAAAGCATAAGGGTTGGGGTCAACTCCCCCGACAAGTTTTGCGAATTCTTTCACTTTTTGTTGCCAAAACGAAGAACAAGAATCAGAATGAAAATACAAACAAGGAAATAGCAATTTAATTACATTGTTATGTGTATGATAGAAGAAGAACGTCAAGTTTCAGGGCGTTTGATTTTCCCAGAAAGCTAAAACGTGGCAAAGGGAATGTTTATAGGTGAAATGAAAATCATTCGTTTCATTCGCCACCACCTTTAATCCAACTACCCATCTAAGGGATTATGGCTAGAAATGGTCCATTGTCATGGTGAATTATAAAATTTTAAAATATTAAATTAAATTATTAATAGAAAATATATAAATAAAGAAATTATATAAAATTTTAAAAATTTCAAGTGCTATCGTTTTTGAGAATTTGGTGACCCTGGGTGAGTCAAAATTAGGTCGATTTTAATTAAAGTTTACATTTGTGTATTTGGTTGTGTTGTGTTTATTGTTAGTGCGGACATAACTGACCAAGTATTGTGATTGTAATTTTTGATAACATATACTATTGTGAATGTTACAGTTGTGGATATCGTAGTTTTAGATAATGTCATTACTACTACATAATGGTTGTCGTTGTTACAGATTGTTATTTAAATAATTGTTACTAATAACAATTGACAAATAAATTTTAAGGGTAGTTTTATAATAACAAGTATAGAAAGAAATGAGTCCCTGATAAAAAAATATATTAAAAAGTAAATTTTAAGATTAGGCTGATAATATCAATTATTCAAATCATAATAAAAAATAAATATTAAAATAAAATTGAATTTTAAAAATATATCCCTAATAACATATATTAAAAATTAGATCCATAATAACATGTATTGAGAAAAATTGGATTCTCGATAACCAATGTTAGAAAAATATTAGTAAAAAGTTGGACACTTCTTAAATATTAGAAAAATAAATTATAAGAGTATGATCTAATAATAAATATTTGAAAAAAATTAAACCTATAATAATAAGTATTAAAAAAATTAGATCCTTAATATTAGATATTAAAAAAATTAGATTATTTTTAAAAAATATAATAAACTATACAAATGGGTCCTGAACTGCACCCTTCCTGCCCAGATCGACGCTGGATTCATCCTCAACTATCCAAGAGTATCACTTCCCATATCCTCTTTTTTTTACAATCTTAATAAAAGACATTAACTCATAAATGTTATTCATTATTTAAATAAAAATTAATAATTCAGAAATAAGATAAAGTACATAAATCACTCTCGGTTATAAGATAATATTTTATTAAGTCTTTTGATTATTAAAAGTTACAAAATAATTTATTACTTACAGTGCATTGATTTATTGAGTCATCTTACTATTAAAAGTTACAAAATAGTCACTTAATTATTCATATATTCCAAACTTGTCAATTTTTGTTAAAAATTAACAGCAGTCTAAGCTGGACGTTAATTTGTTGATTGAGATATGATAGTCTTTTGAGATTTTAGATCATATTTTTATCATATCTAAGTCAACAAGTTAACATCCAATTCAGACTGCAATAATTTTTTAACGGAAAAAATGAGTTAAGAAAATATGAATAATCGTGTGATCATTTTTGACTTTTAATAGTTGGTGGAGTTAGTAAAGTATTACCCTATAATCAAAATATCATTTTGTATCTTTTAACTCAACAAAGCATCATCTTATAATTCGAGTCCGTTTATATATTTTAATCGATCAATGATTCTATCACCATAAAAAACACAAAATCCTCAACATACTCTCTTATTTTAAATCAATCTTATTAAATTAGAATATGCTGGATTTAGATAAAATTAGCATCCTATAAATATTATTTTGATGTGTAACGTATAAGTGCTAGGAG